TCTCGTGGCCGCCGGTCCTGAGCTCCTCCGTGCGGGGACACCCTCCGCCGAGGGCCGGGTCAGGGTGCGCTCAGCAGCGCGGGCTCCAGCCCAGGACGAGGGGCCCGGAGACCCCTGTCCTGAGGACGACGCCGGGGACGCCCCTCCCCAGAAAGCTGGTCTCACCAAGGTCACAGCTGGGCCCCGGGCTGCCCCAGCGGGGAGGTGCGCGACAGTGATGTCGGGGGTCAGAGGTCAGAGGTCGCATAGGTCCCTTTGGCCTCTGCCGGTTCTGGTCACCCCTGCCCCAATCCGTCCCGGGGCCGGCAGGGAAAGCCTTGACGCGCCCGCCTGCGGCTCCCGGGCTCGCTCCTTGAGCTAGGAGCTGGCCTCGTCTGGACAGGCCACCGGGCGTCAACTCGGTCCAGAGCGGCTCGCCCCGCCCCAGGCCCCGCCCCGCCCCGCCCACGGGCCGCCCCTGCCCCGCCCCATGGCCCCGCCCCGCCCCACCTGGTCCTGCCCCTCCTCCCGCCCCTGCGTGGCTTTGTGGCCCTGCTGAGCACCCCCACGCCAGCGCCACCCGTGTGCAAACAGAGGCGCCGGCCCTAAGCTCTCGCGGCCGACCTGGGCTGTCAGGAACCGAACCCGATGGACGCTTCCCTCGCTGGGGAGGTCCGAGGGCACGAGGAGCCGGCTGCTCTGATACGGTTGGGAGGACACAGGTCCCCAGGCGGTCCCCAGGAGGCACCACCGCGCGCAGGAAGGCTGGGGCCGGGGGCCAGCTGCCAGCACAGGGGGCTTCTGCCCCGAGAGCAGCAGGTGTGCCTGTGGGGCGCACACTGGCTCAGGCCCATGTCTGTTCAACACCTGCCTGAATAACAAGCAGCCGCCTTCTCACTGAGAACTCGCAGCAGTGACAGGGTCTGAGACACACAGAGCTGCCACCTCCGGTTCCCTCCCCAAACGTCCCGAGTAGCCAGGACTGGGCAGGGCGGAAGTCCAGCGTCAGAAACTCCGCCCAGAGGACCCGGCTGCCTGCAGAGCCAAGTAGGAAACCCCAGGGCTTCTGACCCAGCCTCCCAACCGTGAGCCCAATGCCCGCCCAGTCTGTAGTTGAAGAATGAAGACTGTCTTCAGTTACTCGGAAAGAGAAGATAAGGCCCGATCACATCGCTGTCGGGACTGGCACTGTTGTACGTGGCTGCTGTCGTGTGTTACAGGCCTGCGGTCTACCGGCAGCGCTGGGATGCTGCGTGTGCTTATCTTGCGCGCTGCTGGTGCCAGTACTGGGGTCTCACCGCGCTCCGGCCTGAACGTCCGCCAGCGTCCACGCTGGGGTGTGGCCACTGCAGCGCCACGTGAGGGCGTGGGTTTGCTGCGAGTCCACCCCGCCTGCCCCGCGTGCTCCTCCTTCCATCCTCACCACGCGCCGCCCTCTGCCAGCTGTGATGTGACAAGGAGGCCCCGAGCTGGGAGCCAAGCACAGTTTGTCATTCTCCCCTCTGAGAGAGGCTCCCCGTGGTGCGTAGTGAGATCTACTCTGCAGGGCCGGGCTGACCGACACCTGGAGGGGCACGGCCAGACGGGAGCTGTACACCCCCGGAAGGACCAGACACCTCAGCGCAGGGCTCCGGGGGGTCTCCTGTGAGCACAGCGCACTGCCCCCACAAGGCAGCTTGTGGTTTTGATGAAATGAGATAGTTAATAAGTACCTTTTATCAAAGTGAGCATATGCCAATCAAGGCATAGACCCGAGCTAAACTAAGCAAAATAGAGACGCAGATTCACAACGATGGCGAAAATTCAGCCACTTTCGGTTGTTTGTTGGTTTTCTTACCATATACACAGACGTAAACATGTCTACATGTACATACGTGGATATACACACGCATACACATATACATACACACATCTACATGCATATGCATGCACATAGACATCTACATCCATATACACAGACATACACACATCTCCATACATGTGCACACGCATACAAACATCTCCATACACATATAGAAACATACAGACATGCATACATCTATATACACACACACGGCTGTATTCACACATCCCCATGCACATACAGTCTTCTACCTACACATACACACATACACACATCTAAACGGATGTACTCATGCATACACATATCTTCATACATACACATACATACATAAATATACATACACACAGACATCGCCATACACATAGACTGTACACATCTACATATGTATGTACACAGATGTACTCACACATACACATATACAGGCATCCCACATTTCCATACACACGTATGCACAGACGTCTACATACATGTACATGGATATACTCACACACATCTTCATACATACACACAGATACAGACATCTCAGTACACATACAGAAACATACAGACATGCACACATCTATATGCACGTACATGGATGTACTCATGCATACACACACATATCCATGCATGTACACGAACATACAGACACACATATCCATGGGAATATTCACATATGTACACATACACAGAAACACATGCTTACCCATACTTCTCCACACATATACACGGGCACACATGTATACACACATCTCCATGCACATACATGGACATACCCACAGACACACACCTCCACCTGTATGCACACATGCATCTCCATACATGTACATGGACACACATGTATACACACATCTCCATGCACATACATGGACATACCCACAGACACACACCTCCACATGTATGCACACATGCATCTCCATACGTGTACACAGACACACATGTATACATGCATCTCCATGCACATACATGGACATACCCACACACCTCCACCTGTATGCACACATGCATCTACATACATGTACAAGGACACACATGTACACACATCTCCATGCACATACATGGACATGCCCACACACCTCCACCTGTATGCACACATGCATCTCCATACGTGTACACAGACACACATGTATACATGCATCTCCATGCACATACATGGACATACCCACAGACACACATCTCCACCTGTATGCACACATGCATCTCCATACGTGTACAAGGACACACATGTACACACATCTCCATGCACATACATGGACATACCCACAGACACACATCTGCACCTGTATGCACACATGTGTACATGGACACACACACGCGTGGCCGTCTCCCAGGGGGAACAAGTGGCTGTGCAGTGGCCGCCGTGTTGTTGAGTGCCTGCTCTGGCCAGGCTGGTCGACCCTCACTTTTCAAATCAATTGGCTTTTTGAGCAGAGAGATGGAGACAGACAGGAGACAGACAGGAGAGAGCGGGAGGGAGGGGCGGGCAGAGGCGTGGTGCCACCTGCTGCTTCCTGTGTGAGCGCAGCAGAGCCACCAGGGCACGTGGGGGGTGACGTCCCCACGGCCATGCTGCCGGGCTTCCACCAGGGACGCTGGTCTTGCAGTGTCTCCCCATCTGAGTGCACAACAGGGCTGGGCGGGCTGTGCGGGAGTGGGCTTGGCCCCCAGGCCGACCTCCTCCCTTCCGTCTCCCCGGGTCTCCTACAAAGGCCTCTGCTGGGGCCCCCCTGAGCCTGAGCACCCTACCCCTTAGCCGGGCACCTGTCATGGCACTGCCCTCGTTGGCGCCCCCAACAAGCAGCTATTAGGCACCTCCTGTGTGCAGAGTGCTGTGAGGCAGGAGAGCGCATGCGGGTGTGGGGTCTTCAGTCAGGTGGTCGGGGGCACGCCCGGTTGAGGATTGGGGGGGGGACACCAGGGAGCACTTAGGGCCTGTTTGCTTCCAGTGGGGTCCCTGCCTGGGCCAATGGGGGAGGGCCTGGCCTGGCTGCCACAAACACCCAGGTTCTGTGATTGGGCGCCTACTGTTGGCCTCCCCTGACCCGTGCTCCCCACGGCTGCCTGCAAAGCTGACCTTGGCCCCTGGGCTGTCCGTCTGGAAGGCGAGGATGGAGGTGCCAACCTCCCCCTGTTGTGGGCCGTGGCCTCTCCCAGCACCCGGGCAGCACCAGCAGAGGCAGGAGCAGCCTAGGGTCAGCACCCGCGGTCTCTGTGCCCCAGGGTTCAGACCAGGCCGGCTGGATAAGCAGCCAGTTACGTCACATGGGGGGGGGAGCTCCTTGCTGATGTCCACAGATATACTCACGTACACGGGGCTCTGAGCCGTGCACCTCCCCCACAGCTGAAGACAGCAGGCGGAACCCGAGGGCCTCTTCCAAACGGCCGGTTCTGAACCCCACGGCAGCCGAGGGCCACCCCCCGGGCGGTCCCCCTTCCTCTCCAAACCCCGCTGGGCCCAAACCCGTGAGCTGGGCCGTGTCACGGAGGTGGACTCGCACTGCCCAGGGTCTCTGGCTCCGGCCCTGTCAGGGCGAGGCTCTCAGCACTGCTCCCTGCACAGGCGCTGCCGGCGCAGACCCCGGCGCTGGGCTGACGGGAGGGGTCCTAGCTCGACGCTCACCAGGAGGAAGCAGGTGCCTGGCAACAAGCAGGCAGAGTCTTCGCGGTGACCCCTGGGACAAAACCTCAACAGCTACAGTTTCTCTGTATTTGGTTCCTGCGATGCCCGTGGCCGTGTGGGTTTTGGGTTTTGTTCAGCTCACCCGAGCCGTTCGGGGGCTGTGCGGCAGAATCTGCAGCGCTGACGTCGGAGCCTCTCGGCCTGGAGACCCGGCCAGGTCCAGAGCTGCCTTGCGAGGCAGGACGGCTGCCAAGGGCAGTGAGGGCCTCACCGTGGACGAGGAAGCCTTGTGGGCACCCCTCTCACATCCACGGGCATGCCTGACGCGGGGCTGCTGCACCGGGGTCCTGTGGGCACAGACTGAGGCCCTCAGCCCTGCTTGGCGATGGTTGCCGGCAGGTGGGTGGGGCATGCCGGCTGCCGTCTGCAGAGTGGCACCTGGGGAGGAGGAGAGCCCCACACTGGGCCCCCGCCCTCTCCTCCAGTCCCTAAGGACCAGGCCCTGAGGTGCAGAGGGGAGGGTGCTCAGAATCCACACACCCCTGCCCTGGGGCAGAGAGGAGGCCGGCAGGACCGGGATGGGGACGCGGAGCAGTGGGGGCAGGCCCCTTCCACGGCAGGCACCAACGCGGTGGGAGAGCAGAGGCGGCTCTAACATTTTAATCCTACTCCCTAATGACTTTTATCTTTTTTTTTTTTTTTTTTTTTTTTTTTTGACAGGCAGAGTGGATAGTGAGAGAGAGAGACAGAGAGAAAGGTCTTCCTTTGCCATTGGTTCACCCTCCAATGGCCACCGCGGCCGGTGCACCGCGCTGATCCGATGGCAGGAGCCACGTACTTCTCCTGGTCTCCCATGGGGTGCAGGGCCCAAGCACTTGGGCCATCCTCCACTGCACTCCCGGGCCACAGCAGAGAGCTGGCCTGGAAGAGGGGCAACCGGGACAGAATCCGGTGCCCCGACCGGGACTAGAACCCAGTGTGCTGGCGCCGCAGGCAGAGGATTAGCCTAGTGAGCCGCGGCGCCGGCCTGACTTTTATCTTTCTAACTGGCAAATCAAAGTTGTTCCCGTTCGTCGTGGCGACACGCAGCAGCCAGGCGCGTGTGCTGTGAGCAGCTTCGGGGCTTACGCGCTGCAGTGAGAGCAAGGAAGATCCCCTCTCAGCGACCTTCCTCCTTTTAAACTATCTGTTTATTCTGGAGAGAGGGACACAAAGATTCCACCTGCTGGCTCACTCCCCAAAGGCCACAACAGCCAGGGCCGGGCCGGGCCTCAGTTGGGTGGCAGGAGCTCCATCCGGGTCTCCCACGTAGGTGGCAGGGACCCGAGTACTGGCACCATCAGTGCTGCCTCCCAGGTGCAGTAGCAGGGAGCTGGGGCCAGAAGTGGAGCCGGGATTCGAGCCCAGCCCTCTGGTGGGGGATGTGGGCATCCCAGGCAGCGTTGCGGCCGCTGTGCCCACGGCTGAATCCGTCCTTGGTCTGCAAATCCCTTGCTGGCTGAGCCAGCATCGATTGCCCTGTGTGGCGACAGCTGGCCATCCTCACGCTCAGGCTGTGAGCCCCCCGGCTTGTTCCGGGGCGTCCAGTGACGTCCTGGACCCTGGGGCTGCAGCGGGAGGCTCCGTCTGTCCTGTTCCTCGCTCCCGCCGGAGCCGCCCCGCGAGTTTGGTCTGCTGGGTCTGCTGGCGCAGCCCGTGGAGCAGACAGAGCCGCAGAGGCCCCAGGCAGGCTCCTCCTGCTGGAGGGAGGCGGCGGGGCCCCGACTGCTCACGCACAGCTTGGCCTGGTGCTGGGGGTCTCCCGTTTGTGTGGGGACGACTGGGCTTCTGGTGTTGCCCCCAGGGCGTCTTTGCTGTGCGTCCCTGCACTCCTGGTTGGGAGCCTCTCTCACTGTCCCGGGGCAGCAGGAGAAACACATCCGTGTCACTGCGCGTGTCCCCCAAGTCTTTCCTGCAAGGCCCCCCTGACCCCTGAGCCAGCAAAGCCCCTTAGCTCAGGGAGCCCTGGGCCACAGGCTGCCCCTGCTCGGGGGCACGGGGCGGGGGCAGGAGGGATGTCCAGCCCTAGCCGGGCCCTGCGGGGAGTCACTGTGAGCCAGGCAGGGCCCCCGGCAGGCGCCACTCTTGCAAGCTGGCTTCCTCCTGGGTGAGGGGTGGGGGAGCCTCCAGGGGAGGCCGGCTCGTTCCTGGGGCCTCTCGCCCACTCCCCATAAAAGTGAGCACACAGCACCTGAGTCTGATGTGTGCCTCCCCCCTGCACCTCATCCCCGGAGTAGCAAATGCAGGGGATCATTTCGACAGACAAGGCCCGCAGGGGTGGGAAGAGGGGGTGAGGTGGCGGAGGGCCCAGCAGAGGCCTGTGGGGACCCGCAGGCAGGTGACAGTCCCGCCCTCCAACAGCCCTTACAGCAGGTGCATGGGCAGAGCCGCGCCAGGCAGGGCCCACAATTTCCTGGGGGTGACCCCCAGGCTTCAGGCTGGCTGGGTCCACTGGGGACCCTCAGGGGAACGGAGATGGACCAGGGGCCTCCCCTTGCTCGTCGCTCGTACGGTGCTAAGCAGATTGGCCCTGACCTTGAGCCCAGGGCCCGGAACAGGCAAGAGGCCAAGTCCTATTTCCACGTCCCCACCTCAATCCAGGCTGACTTTTCTGGAGCACACGGTCATCTCTCAGGAGGCCCGGGAAACAGCTGTCCCAGAAATGTTCTGGAACTCGCTGACCCTCTGAAGTGACACTCAGTGACCTCGCTGACCCTCAAGTGACACTCAGTGAGGAGACATCACAGAACTCACTACCCGGTGCAGTGGCCCACAGCTTGCTGACCTCGCCTGGACTCACTGCCCCTGAAAGTGACACACTGTGTGTGACATCAGCTGGGACTCACTGCCCCTGTGACAGACACCACACCTGCCCTGTGAGACCTGGACACACACACCACACCCGCCCTGTGGGAGACCTGGACACACACACCACACCTGCCCTGTGAGAGACCTGGACACACACACCACACCCGCCCTGTGGGAGACCTGGACACACACACCACACCTGCCCTGGGAGACCTGGACACACACACCACACCTGCCCTGTGGGAGCTGGACACACACACCACACCTGCCCTGGGAGACCTGGACACACACACCACACCTGCCCTGTGGGAGACCTGGACACACACACCACACCTGCCCTGTGGGAGCTGGACACACACCACACCTGCCCTGGGAGACCTGGACACACACACCACACCTGCACTGGGAGACCTGGACACACACACACCACACCTGCCCTGTGAGAGACCTGGACACACACACCACACCCGCCCTGGGAGACCTGGACACACACACCACACCCGCCCTGGGAGACCTGGACACACACACCACACCCGCCCTGGGAGACCTGGACACACACACCACACCCGCCCTCTGAGACCTGGACACACACACCACACCCGTCCTGGGAGACCTGGACACACACACCACACCTGCCCTGTGGGAGACCTGGACACACACACCACACCTGCCCTGTGGGAGACCTGGACACACACACACCACACCTGCCCTGGGAGACCTGGACACACACACCACACCTGCCCTGTGGGAGACCTGGACACACACACCACACCTGCACTGGGAGACCTGGACACACACACACCACACCTGCCCTGTGAGAGACCTGGACACACACACCACACCCGCCCTGTGGGAGACCTGGACACACACACCACACCTGCCCTGTGAGAGCTGGACACACACACCACACCCGCCCTGTGGGAGACCTGGACACACACACCACACCTGCCCTGTGGGAGCTGGACACACACCACACCTGCCCTGGGAGACCTGGAGACACACACCACACCTGCCCTGTGGGAGACCTGGACACACACACCACACCTGTCCTGGGAGACCTGGACACACACACCACACCTGCCCTGTGGGAGACCTGGACACACACACCACACCTGCCCTGTGGGAGACCTGGACACACACACCACACCTGCCCTGGGAGGCCTGGACACACACACCACACCTGCCCTGTGGGAGACCTGGACACACACACCACACCTGTCCTGGGAGAGCTGGACACACACACCACACCTGTCCTGTGAGAGCTGGACACACACACCACACCTGCCCTGGGAGACCTGGAGACACACACCACACCTGCCCTGTGGGAGCTGGACACACACACCACACCTGCCCTGGGAGACCTGGACACACACACCACACCTGCAGCCCCCTGGCTACTGCTGGGGGTCTGCTGGCCCCGCGCTCTGCCGGGGCTGTTACCAGCACACTCCGTGCTTGCTGAGACCCTGTTGCTGACGGCATCTTGACTCCCGTTACCCACCCTGCAGAGGCTTAGTGGGCAATAGGCGGGTGCAGAGGCAAATGTGGCCCCTCATCCCCAAGGGGGCTTCCCCGGGTGACCGAGAGGTGCCCGTCTCAGGTGGGCAGGGCCTCCCGAGCTGAGCGCCCTGGGACACAGCCTCTGCTTGTCAGCGTTGCCTCTGACAGGACGCTTTTCGGGACGCGGCCGGGGAGCACTCTGGGGACGCAGCATGAGCGCCGGGCTGCAGACTCTATCCCAGGGACTGTGGGTTCCGGGGGCCGGTTCTGAAGCTCCTGCATCCACCCGGCGGCCGGCGCATCGCGAAGGAGCTGGTGCGGAAGCCCTCGGGGAGCCGGTCTGCGCACAGCGGTTCTGCTCAGAGGGGGCTGCTGCGGGGCTGGGGCGCCGCCCCCAAGAGGGGCAGCCCAGCGGGGTGGCCGGACTCAAGCCGGTGTCTGCGGTAGGGCCTGGGGAAGCAGCTGCCCAGCCCGCCCGCCCTTCCCGTCTCCCCGTTCTCGGCTTTCCCTGTGGTCCGCTCGGGAAGCTCAGAGGCCGCCGCGGGCCCACACGAGCGTTTGCTCACTAGGAGCCGCTCACGCGTTTACTCACGCTGGCTGAAGGGCCTGGGGAGCCTTCTTCATCTCCCCCTAAAAATCCACAGAAACACAGGCAAACCAAGAAACGGCAGCGCCTAAACCGAGGCCACACGTGCCCACGGGACACCCGCACCGCAGCCCTCACGCAGCTGTGGTCCTGGCTCTGCTGGGGCAGAAAGGGGGGCCCCGGGGCCGGGAAGTTCACGGGGTGTGGGGGAGCCCTGGGGGGCAGCTGGGGGCCCCAGTGCCTGCAGGGTTCCGGGAGTTGAACACCTCGGCGTTTCTTCCACAAACGTGTGGACCCCGTATCAGAAACCAGGTCTGCACGGGAGTCAAAGCCACAGCCGCCCCGCAGGCTGTGTTCCTGCGGTCCAGAGCTGAGCGTGGGAAGTCGGCAGGGAAGCGGCAAAGGAGAAGCAGGCCCCACGCTCCGCCGGGCTGAAGAGGTGAGCGGGTTTGCGCTGAGCTTGGCCGAGGCGCTGGGTGTGAGCCGGGCACGGGCGCACAGCAAGACGGTGCAGCGCCAGGGGCGCGTGCAAGTCCCCGAGGCAGGCGAGCGGAGCCGTGCAGCCCTGCGCCGGGAGGAGCTCGGTGGACTGCGACCGTGCACAACAGACTGGCGCCCCGTCCCAGCCCCGCTCTGAGGCTGAGAGCCCCGTCATCCTCTGGGGACGAGCGCACTGAGTGGGGGAGCTTCGTGTTCCTAAGAGGATGCGGAGGTGGCAAGTGTGGCCGGGACCAGGTGTGGCAGGAGGCCAGGCGGGCGAGGCGGGGACCCGGCGGCAGGATGAAGCCCCACGCTGGAGGAGCAACAGACGGGCTGCATGTGGCGCATGTTCCAGGAGTTCTGCCAGGTTTCAGCGCCAGACGCCAGGGACGGAGGTGACGAGCAGGTGCCAGGAAGAACAGCGTCTCAGGAAAACCCAGGGGACAAGAAGCACGCTCAACTTCTCATGCAGGCAGGCGGCCTGCGCCAGGCAGCGCATCCAAGGACATCTTGAAACGCAACAGACTCTGAAAGATGGAAGCCGGGGCCAGTGCCTGGTGCAGTGGGTTAAACTCCATCTGCGGCGCCAGCACCCCACATCGGAGTGCCCTTCGAGTCCCGGCTGCTCCACTTCCCATCCAGCTCCCTGCTAATGGCCTGGGAAAGCAGTGCAGACGGCCCAAGTGCTTGGGTCCCTGCATGCACGTGGGAGACCTGGAAGAAGCTCCTGGCTCCTGCCTTTGGCCTGGCCCAGCCCTGACTGTTGTGGCCATTTGGGGAGTGAACCAGAGGGAAGATCTCTCTCTGCCCTGCCCACCGTGACACCATCTGTCACTCTTTTAAATTGACAAACCTTAAAAAAAAAAAAAAATCCTAAAAACGCCCTGGGGCAGCTGGACAGCAGGTGTGGCTGAGCGGGGGAGGGGCAGGCCCCGAGGTGGACGGCACTCCTGGCCAGCCTGGCGGCTCCTGCCGTCGGTTTTGTGGCGCAGGGAACACGGCAGGACTCAGAGAGAATCACAAGGTGGTGATGGGATCTCCACAAGGCCCGGCTTGGTGCCAGCTGCTGGCGGATTCTGGGACCCGGCCACTCACTGTGCCCGCCCCTGCCGACCTGGAGGCTGGCGCTGTCCTCCTGCGGGCCACAAACGCTGCAGGCTGGGGAGCCGCTTCTGCCAAGGGCCGCGTGGCTACCTGTGACGTCATTATCCACGCAGTGGCTGCGGCGGGCAGGCCAGAGCCAGATGACTTCTCAGCCTCCCGCTGCCCGTGACTGGCGGCCCCACTCCTCCAGGAAGCAGGGTTCACCTCCGCACTCAGCTGCAGGGCGTCAGCCCTGGGCCTGGCTTTCCCCGGGGGTCGCCGCGCACACTGGGACCCTACCCGACTTCAGTATGTTTCTCTAAAAAGACACAACCTCGCAGAAAATAAATGAATAATCCATTAGCATCGAATACCGCGTCGGTGTTTAAACTCCCAAGGGGCACAGGAGCGCCTGCTGCCTGGGGGTCAGGTGCCCAGAGCGCCGGGCTCACTCCCGGGGTCTTCGGGCACCAGGTCTCTGCACTCTGCTTTCTCTCATACATCGTCCTTTGGAGACGCCAGGTCGTTTGCAAGTTTCCAGTAGTCTCGAATCTGCACGCGGGGAACCTGCGCACAGCCCCACACACTCGGCCGCGCATGGGCGTCTGCGCGTGGGTCCCGCATGGGCAGTGATTCTGACAGTCCGACCAGCTCCAGGTCTGGTGTTTTCTCTCGCGTGGTGTGGCTGACACGGGTGTTCTGGGTCACACGCAGGGCTGTCTCTGCCAAGCCGCGGGCTTTGGGGCTGGGACTCGACGCTGGTGCTGCGGGCGGTGGGTTAACCAGCTGTGCCGCGATGCCAGCCCTCAGGGGGCTCTCAGCAGAGGCACCGCAAGTGGCGAATGACGAGTGGGGAGGCAGCCAGTCTGGACACTCCGCCCCCAGGCAGCTCCGCTAAGGAACTGACAGCTGGGGGGGGGGGGGCGGGGAATGACACAGGCTGGGAGAGAATATTTGTAAACTGGCTGTCCGATGAAGGGCTATGTATTATCCAAAAGATAGAGAACTCTTGTAACTAACAAAAATCAAACAACCAACCCAATGAATAAAAAAAAAAGGCCCAAGACCGTAACAGCTCACCAGAGACAATCTGCAAATGGCCAATAATTAGCAAATAAACACACATCCGGTTCAGGGCCGTTTCAGGGCTGGCGTGGGGCGGCAGGGTAAGCGGCTCCTGTATCAGTGCCACGCCCCTCCCAGCTCCCTGGAGGCTGATGTGCTGGGGAGAGCAGCGGAGGGCGACCTGCACCCACTCGGGAGGCCCGGGTGGAGCTCCAGGCTCCTGGCTTCGGTCTGGCCCAGCCCTGGCCATTGTGGCCATCTGGGGAGTGAACCAGCGGATGGACATCTCCTGTCTGTGTCACCCTGCCTGTCAAATAAGTAAATGTTAAAAAGAAATACCGGAATCAGAGGCTGTCAGAGAATCACCATGGAAACGTCCCCAGGACACACCCTGGAAGGGCCGCGGCCTGCAGCACGGCACCGCCCAAGGCTGGGGAGCGTGCGGGGCGCAGGAGCCCAGCGCTGCTGGTGCGGAGGCAGGAAGCGCAGCCTCAGCAATGGTTAGAAGCCTGCGCCCACAGGAGACCGGCTTTCCCAGCATCGGCACACGGGGACACGCAGGGTCCAGCAGGGGCACGGACGGACAAGCTGCTGAAAACCACGGAGCTGGCGCTCTGACTGTGCCGCCAGAGGGACCTGAGCTGCACACTGCACTAAGAGAAGCCGCTGAGATGGCGCCGGCCTGCGCAACGCAGGGACCCAGGACGCGGCGTGGCTGCGTGGCTGCGTGGCCTCACGGGGCCTCCAGCGCCAGTGTCGCCCGGCACAGCCTCCTTCACGCCGCTTCCCAGACGCAGCATCGTTTCTCAAAACACAAGAGGGAGGCGATTCCATCCTCCCCAGTGTCACGGAGGGAACAGATGCCCGACGCTTCCCATCTAAGCCCGCGGAGAGCGTTCTCGACTTTCACCAGCTCTCGGATCCCTTGCAGTCCCGGTGGCCCCGGAGCATGGACTGCACGGCAGCTCTGCCTGCCCCGCGCTCACCGTGGGTGCTCAGGGCTGCGCCCCTGGCTCTTCAGGCCCAGTGCCGGGGCCTCTCCAGGCAGCCCTTCGCCTCCCTGTAGTGGGCAAGAGACGCACTGGACACAGCCAGCAGCACGCCGCAGGCCAGGGCTCTCCTGCTCGGCCCCTGATGAAGTGCGTGGTCAGACTGGACTGGGTGGACCCGCTCGGGCCGCCTCGCACTCCTGCGGCTGGCTGCTCAGGTCGCCCGTGGAGACCCCTTCCATGAGGCGGATGCGGGGACGGAGGAGGCGGTCTCTCTGGGGATGGAAGGGGGGTGCTCTCTGGTTCACTCCCCAAATGGCTGCAACAGCTGAAGCTGTGCTGATCCAAAGCCAGGAGCCAGGAGCTTCTTCCAGGTCTCCCATGAGGGTGCAGGAGCCCAAGCACTTGGGCCATCTTCTGCTGCCTTCCCAGGCCACAGCAGGGAGCTGGATTGAAGTACAGCAGCCAGGACACGAGTCGGCCCCCTAAGGTTTATTTTTAAAAATTTTATTACTTTCATTTTATTCAAAAGACTGAGCCAGAGAGACAGAATAAGGGAGGGAGAGAGACCGTTTTCCATCTGTTGGTTCACTCCCCAAATGCCCACAACGGCCAGGAAAGGGCCAGGCCAAAGCCAGGAGCCAGCCACTCTATCCGGGTCTCCCACGCTGGGGACAGGGACCGCTCCCCCCCGCCCCCTCCCCCTCCCCCCATCAGCAGGAAGCTGGACCGGAAGCAGGACTCAACCAGGCACCTGCTGTGGGAGGTGGAAGTCCCGGGCACCCGCCCCTGCTGTCATTCTTGACACTTAACCACTTAGGGGCCTCGGCCTCGGGGCCAGCATCACGCATCTGCAGGGGACATCGCTGGCTGAGGCTGTCCACTCGGCATCTGCCCTGGCGAGAGGCTGCCTTCCCCTGCGGTTCACAGGGAGAATGCATGACCGCTGCTGGTGGTGGCAACACCACACCCGACTGGGCCAGCGGGCGGAGGCCGGGCCGCCCGGCACCCAGCCCCACGGCGCCTCCTGCTCCACCCCCAAGGGCACAGGAAAGTGAGCTGGTGCAGTTGTGACCCTGCAGCCTCGGGCCCCATACTTGCCTTCAACCTGGTGGTCGGCCTGCACAGGGAGTCGAAGGCCCGCGGTGCTGCTGCCCACGACGACTCAGACCACAGACCCTCCCCAGAGCCCACGGCCGAGCTGGGACCAGGCTGCAGGAGGTGGGTGCCGCTGAGCGAGGCTGTCCTCC